TTATAAATTCTCTGTACTTGTTTTCTTTTTCCAGTGTAGAGATGGAACCCAGGGCCTCACACACACTAGGAAAGTGGCCTATCACTAAGCTACCACCCATTCCTCCTGCATTTTGATTTATTAACAACTCCGTTTTTTAAAAAAGGTTAAAAGTGAGCAATTTATCTAAAGATGCTTCATTTTCTAATATGGTGGTCTCTAGCCACACATGACTATTTAAATTCTTTAAAATTAAAGTTAATTCAGTTCACCAGTGGTTGTAACCACATGTGACATGCTCAATGGTCACATGGCACTCGTGGTTGTCATATAGCTCAGCACAGATACAGAGTATGCTATATTGGCCCAGAGTCTACTGGATGGTTCTGGTCCAGAGGATGAATGTCACGCCTTCATCTGCCCCTAGCCCTTCTCTTAGAGGGGAAGTCATCCTGCTGCCAGTCTTTATGTCCTTCCAGAGATCTTTTCTATGCATAAGCCAATGTGTGAATGTGACCCTCTTTTGTTAAAACAAATGAGAAAAGACCACACATATTTTGTACTATGCTTTCTTCACTTAATAAGCCTTAGAGCTCATAATGTAACTGTACACATAGAGCCTCATTCTTTGGATGCATGGCAATCCATTGGCACCCGGCTAGTGTCACCACCCCCAACCCCATGCCCAGACTCCTCTGTTCACCCCTGCATGGCCTTGAACCTCCCTTCCTAAACACTGTCATCCCACTCCCAGACTCCACATCCTCAAATTCTTGTTTTTCATATCTCACTTACAGAATAGTACCCCATACCAACAATTGTTAAGCTAATCAAGACTTGTAATCCATGTGACTGTTCATTCACCTTGCCACGGTCATCCCATGCATCCTTGACCAGTTGGGATACTCTGATCTATTTGCACACTCCCTTCCTTGCAAATATACTTGACTCCCTCACCTTTCTCCCATGTTCATCTGTTGAAAGCCCTGATGATGAGTAAACCTGATGATCCAACCTCTCCATATCTGAAATTCACAGAAAAGTGACTGATCAAAGCTGGTGCTTTAAAAAAAAAAACAACTATTTTGGGGCATTATGAAATGGTGCAACTGCTTCAGAAAAAACTATGGAGGCTCCTCAAAATATTTAAGAAAGGAATGTTATATGATCTGCCAATCCCACTTCTGAGTATAGCAAGTTCTCAAAGAACTACTTGCACACCCATTCATGGAAAGATTAGTCCCAATGGCCAAGAGAGGGAAGCAATCTGTCTATGAATGGATACACAAAAATGTGGCATATATATAATGAAACATTATTTAGCCTTTAAAGAGAAGGAAATTGTATCACACACTACAACATGGATAAACATTGACAACAGCATTGTAAGTGAAATAAGCCAGTCACAAAAAGACAAATATTGTATAAATTCTATTTATGAGGTCTCTAAGCAATCAAATTCATAAAAACAGAGAGTAGAATGGCATTACTAGGGGCTGAGAGGAAAAGAAAACAGAATTGTTTAATCAGTATAGAGTTTCAGTTTTACAAGATTAAAAATCTCAGGATATCTGACAATGTAAATATACACTATTGAACTATAGACTTAAAAATAGTTAAAATGTTAAATTTTATGCTATGCTTTTTTACAAAAAGAGAAAGCAACAACAAAGAAACTATTGGGATATATTCTGTGATGGTACAGGGGCCACAATCTGTCCTCTGAGTATTCAATGCCCTGTTCCATCCACAGTCAAGACACACAGCCATTAGGTGGCAAGACCAAGAAAGGCTTTTATTCTCTTCGCAATGGGAACTTCAAACTCAAGATTCATCCTGAGGTTCTGGGTCCAGTTCACAAAAAAAAAAAAAAAAGAGAGAGAGAGAGAACTCAGAGCCAGTTGGATACTTTCCAATAGTAATACTGTTCTTTAACAACTAACTGAAAACCAATGGTTTTTCTACCTATGCTCCTCACAACTCATGTATGCCCGTTAATATGTAAACGTTGGATTCTCAGATGGTAGTAATTTCATGAACTTTTAACTGGAGATTAAAACTTTAAAGCCAACAATACAGAGGATTGTATCATTTTAATCCCTAGATTAGGAATCTCCAAGTGAATTCACTGACATCATCACATAAACAACAAACTAGCAATGATCATAGCATCATCATCCCTCAAAGTTGTGCCTTTCGGTGATAATATACACTTTTTTTAATGGTGCCCATTTGAGGATCATTAAAACAGTGAAACCATAAATATTTCTTCATCATAGAACCTTCATCTGGGAAACCTCAGGGCACTTGGTGAAAGTTTGCAGAGATCTCAACAGTATAGAAAAGCCACATTTGTGGCTTTGTGACTAGTATGTATGAAAATCATTTCAATAGAAAGGAAATCAGATAAGAAATCAAATTAGGAGAAAGGAATTGGGAAACTAAAATTAATTCCTTCTGAAATTGTAAAGCAGATGCTGCATTATTAACTCTAAAATAAGAAAACAAAGATGGAATAGAACTATCTCCTTACAATTCTTTTCATTTTATTTCTCCTATATATAGAAGAAATTCTATTTTTCCTGTATATAGAAATATACAAAAATAAAATGCAAAGCATATATATCATTTTAAATTTCTAGAAGCCATGTTTAAAAATTAAAAAAGAAAAAAGTAATTTAAATAGTTTAGTACAATACATCCAAAGTATTCTGTTATCAACATGTAATAAACATTTTTTAAATTAGTAAAATTTTTATATTTTTTCTTAGTCTTTGGAATCTGGTGTATATCTTATACTTATAGCACAATTCATTTCAGACATACCACATATCAAATGCTAAAATACTTGCTAATGGCAAGTATTTTGGGTATTGCAACTATACTCAAATATAATGTGTTCTTCTGACAAGACAGCAACTAGTTCTCAAAATCTGGGTATATCTCTACATGGCACTCTCTAGATTATTTTTATTAAATTCTCCAAATAGCTACATAGTAGACTGGGCAAATGCATTCGTTTCTTCAGCTAAAAAGTTAACATAACTTTGAATGTCATCATCAACATTTGATCATTTCAAATTTTATAAAATTAATTTGCTAGCATTGTTTCCTGAAGTTTTTCAATGATAAATTAACTCACTTTAAAATTAATTTTGTCCAAAATAATATCTTATTTGATATATCACAAGTTTGATAAGTTTATATTTGTTAAAAGAGCTAACACACTTAAAATAAAATACTATTTAACAAGTAAAAAAAGTTTTTGTGTACTACCTAAAGCCAATAATGAAATGAATTAAAATGTAAATCTATTATGGTATCACGTTCTGGAAGTTTCCATTGTGCACATTCAATTGCAAATACAATATTTCCTGAATCTCCTAGCAGCAACAAGGTTGACACACTTGCGTGACTGAGTATGGCTTAACAACACATTCAAGAGTACCCTTTCTCTGAGGACTACCACATACTCAATGGGCAGTTGGGGGAGTTACTCATTTGTGTTCAATCCAAAATCTGTACAGGCAAGGTAAAACTCTTGCCTGATGTTCTGATACACACATACACATACACACACATGCACACACATGAATATCATGTAATGAAAATATACACGAATATAATAATGTTTTAATAATAGTAGAGCATTAATTTCCCTCAAAACACACCCCCTAACTTCGAATACCATTGTTCTTGATAATTTTTGAAGCCATTTTGGAAGTCTTTTGTGATCAAAAATATAGTGAATGCTGCTCCTGCATGCCATCCAACAGAAAGGCAAGCTCATAAAAACATTACAGTGTGTTCTCATCCACTTTATTCACTAGATCTAGCACTGTGTGACTTCCACACAGTGGCTCTTCTCCAAACTCAAAATGACTAAGAAAGGGAAACTTTTTCAGTCAATTCAGACATCATTGGCAGCAATGCTTTAAACACTCACCATATAATTTTATCACCTTTTGTACACATGCACATATATGTATATATAGATATGTATGTATGTGTATTCCTCACAATAATCCTGTGAAGGAGAAATTGTTTTCTTGATTTTCCAGATGAGGAAATGAGACACAAAGCAGTCTCAGAGCTAGCAAATTGTCATCTTCCAAGATCAGATGAGATCAAGCTCGTTGACACCAGGAGCTGGCGCCCAAATTGTCATCTTCAAAACCAAGAAATCTTACTCTAGGAGTGGAGTATAGCTCAATGGTAGAGCACTTGCCTAGCAAGCATGAAGCTCTTGGTTCTAATCCTTTCTACCATGAAAAATAAAAATAAAAATAAAGAAATCCGACTCTAGAACCTGTGCTCGGCCCTGAGTTCTAATTCCTTCTACCATGAAAAAAAAAATCTGACTCTAGAACCTGTGCTCTTATTACCCAGGGGGGTTCAAATGTTACAGGTAATGAATCTATGGCACAAGTGCTGCAGCAGGCTGTTTGTATCATTGAAAGCTCTAAAAGGTTCAGCATCACTGCTATAGGGTAAGGAAAGGTAAAAAGATACATGTTTTATAGACACAAATACAAATCCTTCACATTCAAGATTTTTACCCATAGGATAAAGCAGCATCCTCTAATTTAGAAAGTGATGGAAAACAAGTAGAATAATTTAGAAGAATGCCTTTAAAATGTCTTCTATAAGTCAGTGATATCTTACTTAGAAGAAAAAAGTTCAAATTTTTAAAAATTAAGATTACAGTAACAGAAAGGATGAATAGATGGATGGAAGAACGGATGGAAGAACAGATAGATAGATGGACAAGCAAATAAACATTCACTCCGGACTCAAAGAGTAGGGCACAAGGAGGGTTATAAAGGACCACTGATCTCTCTGACCATCCAAGGAAGACCTATTACCATGGCTGACATTGCACTAGCTGCCCTCAAAGGCAACCTGGGATCCTCATCTCACTGCTGGGACAGAAGCCGCAGGGTGATGTGTGCTGATGGCCTAATTGTCTAGCCTTCATTTGCAAGGGCTCTGAAGTCTGGAAAAAATAAGAATCTACTTACAGGTACTCTCTGTGGGCAGAGTGTACAGCAGCTGCATTGCTGTAACGCCACAGGACAATCGCCGATGACAAGACGTCCAAGATGGCATCAAACTAGAAGGAAACACGGCATTAGTGGTTTTCCAGAGGTAATACAGCATGACTATGAAGACACAAGACAATTTTGCTGTATTTCAGAGTATCTCAGTGAAAAGAAGTGTTGAATGTCTCAACACAATTGCTCATAACCCTCATGGTGGAGCCTGGGGCATGGAGCTCAGAGCACCAGAGTACTGGCCTGATAACTGCCGTAGCCCCTTAGTTGTGTGGTGGACTCTGCTCCCAGCACTCTAGAGACATAAAGCAGGGGATGGGTAGCACACTGTTCTGAAATATGTGGATTGGTTTCCCTGAGGCGGGCAAGATAATCTCAACATTTCCCTGCACATCTTAAAGGTGTGGGTTCTGTTTCTAGCCCTCAAAAGGACTGTTCCACCTAGACTCAGGGGTGAAGGTGAGAGTTACCCAGGGCTCCAGAGAGTCCACCAGCACTTTGATATTGGAAACAAAAGTCAAGGCTTTGTTTCAAAGACGGGGGAGAGAGGGAGACACGAGGGCAAATAGAAGGTAGAAGGGACAGGACAGGGCTTGCTAGAGAGGAGGGAGAGAATATTTGTGTGTTTCTCGGTGTGTGTTTATGTGGTGTGTCTGAGTGTGTATGTGTGGTCATGTGCATTTCTCTGGACAGTCCACATCTATCATAAGATTCTGAAAAGACTCTGCAACACCTCCACAAACATTAAGTTCTTATGACAAAGGGCAGAAGTAGGTTTGGGAAGAAGCCCACATACTCTCAGGTACCAGAAATCCTACCTCTACAGAGGAGGAATGTTGCAAGCAGTTCTCTTTAGCAATCATCACACCATATTACACACTCTTCTAGAAACTCACAAGAACTGGCACTGTCTTGGAGGAGTGAGGGGAAATATCACCCAGTTTTTCAACATGGCTAACCACAGGAAAGACCAGCTTTCCTGAACAACTTTCATCTGGAGGTGGGTTGGGAGCCCAGGAACCCCTAGCTGGGCTACAGACCAACTCATCCCAACACCTGTCTATACCAGTAAATGCATCACTCAGTACTTACCAGGCCTACCCATACCTGAAATGGAAAGAAGGTCTAAAACTCCTAAAATAGCCTCTCAATCAACTACTTTTGGTGGAAAACATGGTTTCCCCATCTGTCCTTGTGAAATACATGGTCACACTGCAGTTTAATTCTAGTAAATTGTCATCTTTACAGAAGCTTTTTCCATAAAAGGTATGGTTCCCATGCTAAGCTCTCACATGCTAACCGCCCTCTTGAGGGCTCAGGGAGAGATTCATGGGCTCAGGAAAAACGTGCAAAACTTCATGAAAGTACATTTACTTACTGCAAACCCAAAAGCAGAGGCGCTGTACCTCATAATGGAGACAGCTAAAAAGAAAGAAAATATTATTCAGAATATTTGAAATCCTCATAGATAATTTCTCTCATTTGTGCATATATTAATATATTTGATACGGCCTTTTAAACATCACCGAAAGGTTCCAAGAGAATAAAATTAAAAATTTACTATCCTTATAAAAATCTGAAATTGAAGAAATGGATGGTAAAAAGATTTCCAAATTCTACCTGCAACAACTTCCCTTCCCTATGTGTTCAGAATCATCCAACTTCTGAATAAACCTGTTTATGTAGTTGTCAATCATATGACTTCTGAGATGTGAGAATTTAGAAACCAGAAAACATATCTGGGAAGTATGTTAAACTTTCAAAGGAGGACTACAACTATTCAAACTCTTCTCATACAAAATAATTGGTGATGGAATCTAATGCCTCCATCATTGCTAATATAATTGAAAAAAATATCTTTTGCCTAGAGTTTAAAGTGTAAAATAGACACCAACATAACTGTTTAGAAAAACAGATTATTTTAAATAGATGTCTATAAACATAAATGCCAAGATTATAGTTAAAACATTTTATCTATATTCAAAAATTGGGAGCCAAGTCAATTAGGTGCCAGTTTTGCCTAATTCTGTTCTGTATCAAAGCAATGTCCAGCTTCAAAAACTGTCCTCAATTTGACTCAATAAAGGCAGATCTACAAACAAAAGCTAAATTTTACAAGCTATATCCACCCTCCAACAAAGAAGCAAATTCTACCTCTGAATCACCAAAGCTTTGAGATGGCTTGCTCCAGGCCCAGAGGCTCCAAGTGTGGAAACAGGCATGGGCGAGAGGCACTGGGGTTAGCACCTATGTGGACGTCCATTCAGCTGACCACAGTGGTCCTTTACTGGGAACTATTCCCCATCCTATCCACAATATCCAGGAATAGACCCAGAGAGTCATGTTGTACTGTGTGCACAAGGGGGTCACCTGGCCCAAAGTGGACCAAAATTAGTTCATTTTCTAGTTGGTCAATTTGTGTAAGTAGAACTGAAATTGTGCCCCTGTTTACTACAAAGACCAGGGGGTAGAAAGACAAGCAAGGGGCAGAAACACAGAGTGCAAGATAAAGAGAACCACTGGCTTCCTAACATTCTAAGTCCCACCTGAAACTCAGTGACACTCATTCTATTTCTTAGGCTGTGTGAGGCGGAATATTGTCCATCTTTTTTTAATCTTGACATGAATTACTCCAGGTGTTCCTGATGTTGCTCTTACTGGCCCAGGGGGAAGGCCAGAGCCAGCTAGGCATAGTGCCCAGCTGTAGCTATCTCAGACAGGTGTATGGTGTAAGAGTACAGAGCTTTCCTAAACACCATTAATTCACAGCCCACATTGGCATGTGAGAGGTCGTGGATCCCTGCATGGACTGCCCTGAGTATGGAAATGTCTTATTAAGTGGCTTGGAGTAAGTCCTCAGTCATTGTTAAGTAAGCACAATAAAATTTCATAAAAGCACATAAAAAAGGTATCTAGTTTTTCCCATTACAACCTGTTTTTAGAATAGTTTAGCTGTGTTTCTTGCAGGCTGCTTTTTTATCACTAGTAGAAATCTCTTGAACACTGCTCCACTGCTGGTGGGAGTGTCAACTGGAGCCACCACTGTGGAAATCAGTATGGAGATACCTCAAAGAACTAGGACTGGAAGTCCCATTTGACCCAGCTATGCTCCTGCTGGGGATCTTCCCCAAAGAATTAAAAGAATCATACCACAGTGGTATATGTGGACCCATGTTTATAGCGACACAATTTGTAATAGCTAAAGCTTGGAAAGAGCCCAAATGCCCATCAACTGGAAACTGGATAAAGAAAATGTGGGGTTTTTAAAAAATAAGATGGAGTACTACTCAGCCATAAAAAATGAGAAAGTAGAGACATTTATAGCTAAACGGATGCACATTGAGGCGATAATCTTAAGTGAATTAAATAGGACACACGTGTAAATACCGAATAGTTTCTCTAGTATGAAAAACCGAAAGTGTCAATAAGGACTAAAAGGTATAATAGTTAATGTGAAATAGGAAGAAAAGGGGCAAAGGGGAAGAAGTGAGAGGGGTAGGGGAAAGTAAAGAAAGGAATGGAATTAATATGAGAAAATGAAAAAATGGAAAGAAAGTCTTTGTAAATAGGGAGGGATGGAGGGGTTGAAGGGAGGGCAGGGGAATGGGGAAAAAATAAGAACCAAGAGAGATTATGTAAAGGTGCAAATTTCCAATGATGAATGTCATTATATTGTATACCTAAAACGTACCAATTAATAAAATCTAAAAAGAAAAAAAAGAAAGAAACCTCTTAACTCCCATTAACATCTTGCACATACACTCAATAACAGACAAAAGGAGAGCTGCAGGGCCAAAGAGCCTACTCTGTCTCTAACTGTGCTCTCCAGCTTGGGCATCACAGACAGCACAGCTAGAAAAGCACTCTCCTCCACATCCAATCACAAAAGACCACCTGCTTTAAAAGCAGTAAACTATGACTTTAAAATTGTTTGTGTATGACTTATATGGTGATGCCAGACATACATAGTAAGCTATAGATTTCAAAAGATTGATCATAGTGAGACACACAAGGAATTTCATATATCAGGAATTCAATCAAACAAAGAGATGACCACTGAATGGCAGGATTTCCCCAACTCCATGCGAGTCCAATACCCATAATTTCAAACACTCTGGAATTATACCAGAAAGTCCTGCATGTGTGAGTGAGGTAAGCCTGCTCAGCGGCTGGAAAACCTACAGCACAAGTGGAATATTACTGTTGCTCTATCCTATGTGCAAGGGAAATGTGAGCAATGGGGCTCTAGGTTGACTTGGAGTCCTTAACAGAGATACATCATTCACTGATGAATTATCTCAGTCTAATATCCTTGCTGTCATGGAAAAGGAAATGCCAAAAATTTCATGGAGAATCAAGATTACACTGAAGGGCCCTCCACACAGCCTCACCTCTGGCAGCTTCCTGGTTCTTGCTACTGAATAAGAACAGTTATTAATACAAGAACCAAATGGGAGAGTTCAGAAGGCCTTTAAGGAATTCATAAACAATGTTGAGTAATGACTTCATTTTCTTTGGCTCCTGACCCATCATAATATATTCTAATTCTAGGATAAGATTGAACTCAACAGAAAAGGTCCGATTTTTTAAACAGTCCCTGTTCCAAAGTAAAGGCAGAGGGTTTTTACTGATGTATTTCTAACTTCCTTCATTCCTTCATTCTCCCACTTGGAGAACAGGAGGCAAGGACCAAGATGACCACCCGAGGCAGAGATGGTATCATAGGGGCCCTTGGAGCTCCATGTACACATGGTTGAGCATAGCCAAAAACCACCATGGGGTCGAAGTTTGATACTGACCATAAGGCAGATAACAGACATGGGCCCTGTTATGCTGCCGACTGGCCATGCCCATGAAGACATGGGCAACCAAGCAGCCACAAAACAGAGGTCTCCTATGAAGGTTGCTTTTGTCAAGGCAGAGGCCACAGAGCTGAAGGTAATGAAGTCACCGAGGCTATCAGGACATCACAGCAGGGCCTGTTGAATGTACCCCCCTGTAACTGTGCTGAAATGCAACAGACTGGACTGGCCACAGCCTGCAACTGCACCTGGATAGCAGTTAGCAGAATCTCAGGGGAGTCTTCAAGAATGTTTATTTCTCACATCCACACCTATCACCACTGCTCATTAAGTTAAAAGTGCACTTGCAGAGCTAGTGGTCACCACCAGCCTCTGAGGTGTGTGATTGCAAGCTACAGGAGCCTCGTCCAATTCTCCGGGGACTGTGGTCTGGTTTCCACCCTTCCTCCTCATGGTTAAAGTCCAAATGCTTTTCCATCTGATTAGGCTGCACTTACACTTCCAAAATTGCAGGTTTAGACATTGCACTGGACTCCTCTCCTTTTCTCTGCTTTTTTGCAACCCCCCCCCCCCAGACACAGAGTCCTTAAAATGTTCATAAGTAACATGAAGGTATATTGGTTGGGGCCTGCATAGCGCCCATTCCTCATGCTGGGGACAGCACCCTGATTCTCACCCTGGGGAATTGCACCTGGCTTAGCCTCAGACTAAATGTTGTGGGCAGGAATGACATGATTCCCACCCTGCTATATCCCACTAACTTGTCCCACATCCAAAGTTAATGATTCAAATATGACACAATCCAATTTGAGCCAAGGAGAGCCCATACCAAGTTTTTTGCTAAAAATATTAGAGGGAATGCCTTCCTAAGACGTGGTTTTAGAGCTAGTAAGACGAAAACAGGAACGGTGGGAAGTGCTTGACATAAATGTATAAAGATGGCCACAGAATGAAGCCAACACAGAGGAAGTGGACACTGAAGAAAAGAGACAGATCAAGCCCTGATGACATCAACCAGCCCTCTAGAATCACCCATGTCTGATATGCACCCCTCTGTTCCTCAAATACTGTCTAATAATTTTCTTTAAATTGCTTAAGCCAATGTGAGTTGAGTTTCTTTGACTTGCCACCAAATGAGTCTTAATACTATATACCTCGACCTGATAATCCCTCATCCCAGAATTTCTTTAGTGCCTAAGAAATGAAAAAACACCTTACATACAAGGTTCATAGTAAGTTCATGTAATTTATAACAAACAACACATTGGATCCAATCTAAATATTCAGCAATAGGGTCTACTGAAAGGATAGATCTTATATAACCATTTTGAAATGTGTACAAAAATACTGTTGCTTAATGTTTACATTGGTATATTAGGTAGAATAATGATATTAATAATAGATGGTATGTTAGGGGCCACAGGTGTGGGGAGGTCAGAAGATGCTTCATTGAGATGGTGACATCTAAGCAAAGACTTGAAAGAAGTGAGGGAGTGACCCATTCACTTGTCAAAAAAGAAGAACCTCCCAGCAAGCAGGAAGTCAGTGCAAAGGCCCTGCATAGAAACCCTGGCACATTGAAGCCATGTAGGCTAAAACCAAAGGGTGGAGAAAGACATT